TAAACCCTAAACCCTAAACCCTCTAGACCAAAAGGCGCTGTGCTTGTGGTTCAAGGTCTGCTCGGGACAGCTGGTCGCTGCGAATGGCACTCAGCTCGGTCACTGGGCCACCTTTTGGGGTTTAGGGTTCAGGGTTCAGGGTTTGGGGTTTAGGGTTTAGGGTTTGGGGTTTAGGGTTTAGGGTTTATTTAGGGTTTAGGGTTTAGGGTTACCAAAGAGCACCCAACCTCGCACACTGAATTCTCATAAGCCCTGTTCCTACCCAGAGGCTTATACTGACCGGTGTCCGGTCAGGGCACTTTTGGTCAGAAGTTGCTGTAAGCGCACTCCCATCCCGCACCCACCCCAACCTTAATTGAAACATAAGCTTCCAAAGCAAACCCTTCAACCCCTGAAACCCAAAGCCTTAGAACAGAACCTCCAGCGTCTAAATAAGCGGTTTAGGCGTCTTTGGAAAGGGGGGAGGGTTTAAGGCTACTATCGCCTTTACACACAAAAGCCCACGTCCAATGCCGAGGACCCCCCTTCGACGCCAATGCCTCAGCCTGCCGTGAGGAGCCCCCAGCGACGGAGGAGAGTTGCACTCTGAAGGCCACATGCTGGGTTTAGGGTTTAGGGTTTAGGGTTTAGGGTTTAAGCATAATTCTTCTGGTCTCGGTAGGCCAGTGGTACCCTTTACCCCTTTTTTTGATTCTGAATTCCCTTATAAAGTAACCAGCTGGGCTACCAAGTGTTTGTGTAGGTGTCTCTAGGAAGGAAGTAGGACTCTGAAGCCCTACACCAGTAGTAGGGTTTGTGGGAAAGGGGTTGTGGTTTCAACTCTGCTGCGCTGTCGTTCGTAAGGTTGTGGTGCTCTGGGTTCCGCTTGCATCTTTGTATTTGTTGGGCGGTTCTTGGTAGGGACTTAGGGAAGTGATCAGGGTCTACGGTTTGTTAGTAGGAAATTCGGGAATCAAGACGCGGGTTTAAAGGTTAAGGGTGCTAGCTCTACAATCGGGTTCTGAGAAGAGGCCGAGGTTCCTGAACTCCCCATTGAGAGCTGGCAAGTACGTGCCACTCCCGTTTAGGGTTTTAGGGTTTAGGGTCCAGGGTTTAGGGTTGTAAGTTGCAGGTTGCAGGGTTTAGTGCTCTAGGGTTGTGGGGTTTAATCGCTTCCCCCTTTTATTCAATGGACCCCTAATGAAAAAACACTTTCCGGAAAATCCTGCCGAAACCAACCCCGCCTCTAAAACCCTATTCCGAATTGGGGGGGGGGGGGGGTTCAGGCCTCCAAGAAACCCCTCAACACCAATGAAACCCTCAGAGGGTTTAGGCTTGCGGGTCTCTCTTTCAGTTTACACCACACTTACTTAAGTTGATTACTTGAGTAGCCCTGAAGTCTAATGAATTATGACATTTCGATAAGAATGCCCCCCAAGAAGAAAAAACGCTTTTCGAGTTTTTAAAGGGGGGGGGGGGGGGGGGGGGGCCCGTTTAACATTAGGGGGATGGGCTTACAGTCTAGGGCTCGATAGGCTGAAGCCGGCCTTGAGATCCCCGCCACCCCGAATTCCCAAAGCACCAAAGCCCCCTAAAACCCTAAGGCCTAAACCCTAAGCCCTAAGCCCTGAGAAAGAAACCCTAAACCCTAAACCCTCTTAGTAGCTGGGTGAGCACACTTTACACTTTTGGGGATACTATAATCCCCTATAGAACTGAAAGTGTACACTTTGGGGGGGCTTATGCAATCAGCAACTAAGCCCTAAACCCTAAACCCCATCCCTCCTTTCTTGCAAGGCCTGTGCTACCTTCCGGCTCCGCAACCGCGTAGAGCTGCAGTCTGGGTGGCACGCACCTTTACAGCAGCTGGAAAGGGGTGCCAGGATTTTCGTGTAGGTCTCAGGGTCCATGTACTCTAGGGGTCGGAAGAATGGCTAATGGTATTCCCTTAGGGCCCCTTTATCGTTATACCATAAAGACCCCCCAAAAACCATGTTCTAATTATTCTGGCCCCTATAGGACCTAAATAAGGAATCCTTGGGTAGGTCCTCTATAGTTCGTTGGGGCTTTAGGCTTTTAGGGTCTAGGGTCTAATCGTCTCGTCGTCTAATTAGGGGACTTAGGGAGGGCATGGAGTGCACGGGGTGGGGGGTGCGAAAGGCTGCGGGGCTTGTACGGATATTCTTGTAAGATGCCGAAGGCTGGGGTGTTGGTTCTTGAGTGGCATGTAACAGGGTTGTTGCCAAGTGACTAGGGTGCTGTCTTCGGTGATGGTGTGGGATTCTGGAGCTGTATAAGATCTATGGTTTGGGCTATGAGCTTAAATTCCTAGCCGCATATCACAAACCACACGATCATGAGGTCATTGCGGTGGCGTTCTTCGTGGACATTGCCTGCCAGCAAAAGGCCTGGCAGGATCCTAAACCCCTGATGTTGACCCCTGATTTGTCCCCTCTCCCCTCCCCCGCGCTCAAAAGAAGCTTTCTTCCCCTCAGTCCCCCCAACCCCTAACTTCAGCTTTTTGCGCCCCTCAGGCTTGTCAGGGGCTCAGAGCACCCCCAGTAAAAAGGGGAGGGAGGAAGGCCATCGGGTAGGGCTTTGTGGCTTTGGTGTGCTCGGGAGTGGGGGGTGTAGATGTAAAGACGGCCGCGGCCTGCTTCCCTGATGTTTGGAGGTTTTGCCATGACAAGGGTTTCGAGTTCAGCCTGCACACAAGGCACAAGGACCCAGCGTATTGGGGCCAAGACAGGTAGGGCTAAGACAGGATGACATGGGACTTTCCTTACTTTGTTGGTGGTTAGCTTTCCTATGTCAAAGGCTGAAAGGGTTAAACCCCTAAACCCCCAAATCCCAAAAAGCCCTAAATCCTAAACCCTAAACCCCTAATACCCTCAACCCCAAGAAGCCCTAAACCCTAAACCCCCAAAAACCCTAAACCCTAAACCCCTAGTACCCTAAACCCCAAAAAGCCCTAAGTCCCAAACCTTCACGCCGACCAGAGACAGGTCCTGGGTCTGCCTGTGTCTTCTGGCCACTGCTCGGGCCACCTGACGCAGGGCTTGAAAGGTATCTGGGTTAAGGGTTTAGGGTTAGGGTATCTGGCATTCGGGGCTCCAGTTTCGGACTCGCGCGCGCCTGTGTGGTGATTGGCATTTCCTGTGAAGTGCGGTTTAAGAGTCTAGGCGCGAGAGTCGCAGATGTGGGTCCACTCCCTCAACTGGCTGTTGTAATCACTTTCTGTTTTGGCTAGAAATATGGGCCAGCACGGAAAGATGGTCCCGAACATGGGTCCCTCCTCTAGCCCCTTGATTCCAGGGCCGAGGGGCGGGCTCTTGGGGCTTGAGAAAGTTTAGGCTTCTAGTAGGGAGTTCTGGGCTTGGTAGGAGGTTCTGGGGCTGGGGGCATCATGAGTGGTTATGCCAACGGATTCAAGCTCGCACTCTCAAATGGTGGGGTTCCCCACACCCTGAATCCTCAATCCTAAACCCTCAACCCTAAACCCAGGTGTGCCGCAAGCCTTAACAGTCCCGAAGCCCCAGGAGAGTTCAAGGAAGAGCTTTTGACCTAGAGCCTCAACCCTAGACACTCCCAGAACCCGAGAAACCCGAAATCCCTTAGAATCCAAAAATCATCCCTAAACCTAAGCTCCATAAAGCCCCCGAAGAAGGGTACCCCCCCCTATTGTAATCTCTGTGCAGGACTGTTAGTATTAGTATAAGGGGGAACATTCCAAAACTAAAGCCCCAAAAAGCCCCTTAAAAACTGAGCATATCGAGGCTGCGCCTGCCGCGATTCCATGGGCAACCAGCAGTCATGTAGCGCAGACCCATGGCGTGAATTTCTGTGGTTTTGGGCTGTTCCGGGCTGAAGTGGTTCAGGGATCCATGGTGCGAATTTCGGTGGTTTTTTGGGGGGGCTTAGGGTTTTGGCGGGTTTGGGGGTTGCGGGTTCTGGTTGAAGGGTTGAGGGCTGAGGGTTTGGGGTGAAACATGCATTGGGAGTTCTGCAGGGTTTATTAAGCTGATACTGGGAAGCTCACTCACTCACACTCACTCACTCTCTCTCTCTGTCTCTCTCTGTCGTTTTTTGTTTTGTACTCCCCTTGCCTCTGCCTCTGCCTCTTCCTCTCCCTCTCTCTCCATACACACACACACATGCGCACACCTCATACTTCTGTAGCCACGGCGACTCCAGCGACCCATCACAACCCTAAGACCCGAAATCCTGAGCCCCAAGCTAAGTAGGCTTGTGGGATCATACTTCGGGTTTAGGGTTTTGGGCTGTTTCGTGGCCTGACAGATTCAGAATCCTAAGCCATTCTAAGCGTCGGTACCCGGAGGTACCTCTAGGAGGGACCCGTAGTCCTGCTACCCTATATACCCTCACCCCCTCGACAGTGACATACCATGAAATCCCTTATAACAAAGTAGCCCCAAAGTAGCTTTTGTTGCCTAGCCAGACCCTGTGGAAGGGTGTGTCCTGTCGCCCCAGAATCAGCTGGGTTCCAAGGACCTAGCTTTCGATGGCTACATGGTTCAGGATCGCCTCTCCGCGAGCTCATGGATTGCCCAGTGCGACGCATGTCAGCATACAGCAGCTTGTGAGATTTGAAAAGAGGAACCTGCAACACGTCGGCCAAAGCACGACCCAGGGACCCTCTCCGCACTCCCCACACTATCTCTACAGCCCTAAGTCCTTAATCATAACCCAAAATCCTCCTGAGATTCATTTAGGGTTTAGGGTTTAGGGTTTCGAGCTGTGATGCCCCCAAGGCTCCCCAAGTCCCTTAAGCCCCTCAAGCCCCAAACCTGAAACCTGAACATTATAGTAATATTGTTATATATATATATATGTGTGTATATTGTCCGCTTATTTGTCTATTTATTACCTTTATAAAAAGCACATCATCACATCTTTTTGAACCTTTAGTCTCATGCTATTATAGACTTTTACGGTTCGAATACCTCCTGAAACTACCAAGGTCTCGGTGAGCAGCGGGTCTGTTGCTTGCGCTCCTGGCGATGCGTGGATCGGGCTTCAGGCGCGGCCCGAAGATTCGCACCTCGAGGATTTGAAGGGTTTACATGGACATGGGGTTTCCGGAAATAGGGGTACGCTTCTTTGGGGTTCTTTTTAAGGGGGTTCTCTTCTATTTGGGGTATAAAAAGGGTACCCCTTAGGGTTTTTAGTGTGTTTAGGGCTTGGGGTTTAGGGTTTAAGGTTAGCGTTCAGGGTTTAGCGTTCAGGGTTTAGGTAGGATTCAGGATTTGATGTCGAGGCTTGGGAGGCTAAAGCTTTATATGATTGCGGGAAGTTTTGGGTGTTCAGGGTTTACGGTCCCATAAACCCGTTTAGGGTTTAGGGCTTGGGGTTTCGGGTTTACGAGGACCCTTAGGGTGGGCCCTGACTGTTGGAGCCCAGCTACTTACAAGGGTTTAGGGTTTAGGGTTTAGGGTTAGGGTTTAGGGTTTAGGGTTTAGGGTTTAGGGTTTAGGGTTTAGGGTTTAGGGTTTAGGGTTTAGGGTTAAGGGTTTAGGGTTTAGGGTTTAGGGTTTAGGGTTTAGGGTTTAGGGTTTAGGGTTTAGGGTTTAGGGTTTAGGGTTTAGGGTTTAGGGGGTATCTTGGGTAGCTGTGCTGTTTATTCGACTGACCCATGATCTCCCTTCTAAATGTAAACATATCTCAGACAACCTCAGGTGAGTCGTTCCCCCATATACCTTTTCCGTAGCCTGTCAGCCCTAAAGCCTAAGCCTAAACCCTAAACCCTAGAAATAAGGTTCTAGGGCTTATTCGAGGGTAGAGGGTGTACAGTGTTTAGAGGGTCACAGCTTCATCATCATCATCGACTGCACTGCGCCCGAAGTCAGAATGGCGTCATTCGCAACAAAGCCGAGCACAGCTTGAGGATTTAGATCGAGCCTTCTCCGAGCTCGAGTCACGAAGAAGTGTTGCACACTGTGGGCCTCGCGGTTGGCCGCTCTTGCTTTGGCCCGTGCTACTGCGCACCTGACTGTACACACTGCCCTAACCCCTAGACCTTAAACCCTAAACCCTAAACCCTAAACCTAAACCCTAAACCCTAAACCCTAAATCCTAAGCCCAAGCTTTGGCAAACGTCGGTCGTGCATCCAGCGGCTGCCGAACCGCCAAGCAGAGGCCACAAACCTGCCGATGGGCTGAAGCTCCTATGGCGCACGGGGGTTTAGGGTTTAGGGTTTAGGGTTTAGGGTTTAGGGTTAGGGTTTGACACACGGTTTCCATTCTTCGTGACAAGTGCGCAGAGTTTGAAAGCCCCTAGACCCTAAAAACTCTCTAAGCCTAAGCCCCTATAAACCCTAAGCTCTTAAACTCTCAGCTCCAACCGCCCTAAAGCTTCAACTCAGAAACACCACCCTCTATAAGCCCAGGTGCAAACCAACACCGAAGTCCGTTGTGTGCACATCCTACAGTCGGCGGATCCTGCCTACATGTCCCGGGAGGCGGGTTTACAGGGTTTATCGGGTTTAGGGTACAGGGCTCTTGAGCTTTGAAGTAGTTGCGGCGGCCACAGTTCGCCTCGCAACATGCTGTGGCAGCAGTGTGGTACCTGCTGTGACCAGTTGTACTTGAAGGTCCCTGGCGAGAACTACGTATCTGTACAATCTTCTCGTAGTCCTTGTAGGTGGCACCATCGAGTGCCGCCAGCAACGATACTCTACCCCGTCAACCCCTCTTCACGATCCTGCCTGTGAGCCGCAAAATAGTTCCTGAGCCCTATAAGCTCGAAAGCCGAAGCCCGAAACGCTTAAAATTCCCTAAGCCTTTCTGGGCAGGTGGCGCTGGAAAGCATCAACGAAGACATGGGAGTTTGGCAAGTCATGGCGGAGCACTTCCGCAGACAACATAACAAACCTAGGATATGAGTCAGGGTTTCAGTGGTTCAGGGTTTAGTTTTATTCGTATTTGAGGGAGTGCGCAACCGCTTTTGCGGCCCTTCTTCAAATCGGATTCACAGCCCTCCCATTGATTTTTTCTAAGGTTTATGGTTTAGAGTTTCGTGTAAAGGGCTCAGGGCTTTTTGTTTGGGATGCTTTGCGTCGGGGCTTGGCGTGCCCCTAGAAGGATTTAGGATTCGGGCTTGGAGGGCTTGCAACGGTGCTCATGGCATTTACAAGGCGTATAGCTTATAGGGCTCATAGGGTTCAGGAAAATGAGTGCCAAGCAGCTCTTAACCCTCAACCCTGAACCCGCATTAAATCCCGGCGCCCTTTGCTGAAAACCTGAAACCCCAGAACCCTAAACTGAAACCTTAAACCCTAAACCCGATCCAGGTATTCGAATCTCAAGGGTGCGATCATCAACGGAAATGGCAGCTATTCCTGGGATGTCTTGCTGGTGCCGCAGGCCCGCGAAGCTGTAGGGCCCAGAGCGTTCTTCGGGCTTAGCTAAACCCTAAACCCTAAACCCTAAACCCTAAACCCTAAACCCCATTGTCGATGGCTTGCGCTGTGCCCCTGTTATTGGCTTTCAGCGGGTCGTTCTGGACTGCCTCAGAGGGCTTAGGAGTAGGACGTGGATTTCTCTAGATTACAACAGGCCCGTGATGACGGAACTCCAGGCCTAAGCTACCTAGGAAGCTTGCTACATAGCCCTAGAAAGCCCAGAAACATGTAGTCGAACCAAACCAAACAAACCAGACCAAGCCAAACCAGACCAGACCAAGCCAAACCCTAGACCCTAGCCCCCCAATAACCCTAAACCCTAAACCCTAACAGCCTAAACCCTAAACCCTAAAACCAAACCAAACAAGCAAACCGAAAGTCCCTTGGGCCCAGTCCTGCATCGGCGCCATCCACTGCAGCGGACACGGCAACGCCGTGGGCCTGCCGGGCAGCTGCCGCTGTACCTGTGGGGGCGCCTAGGGTGTAGGGTATTGGGGTTTGGGGTTTAGGGTTTAGGGTTTAGGGTCAGGGTGTTGTATAGGGTTTAGAGTCTAGGGTTAGAGTTTATGATTCGGGGTTAAGTCTAGGGCCTTATCCAACTTCCCGGTACCGTAGCAAGACTTTAAACCTCAATGGAAACCCTTCTCGCCCTAAACCCCACACCCTGCCGAGCTTCAAACTCATATTAGCCCAGCCTAGCACTCAAGCTCAAGAACCGGGCGCAGACAGAAGTCCTCGGCTTCCGCGCAGAGCCACGGTTTAGGGTTTTGGGTTTTGGGTTTAGGGTTAAGTGCCCCTACAAGCTTCTGCCTGGTCTTAAACACCCTCTCAAGTACCCTAAAGCCGTTTGTTGCCCTAGAGCCCGAAGATCCTTTCACCTCAATTTCCCTGTACCGCTGTTAGCCCTAAACCCCAAAACCCTAAACCAAAAAAAAGTCCGAATCCTTAGTGCCCTAAACCCTCAACCCTAAACCCTAGACCTTAAAAACGCTTTAAATGCCCCAGCGAGGCTTCGAGGGCTACGCCGGGCCCAGCTGTGAGATCTGCGCCACAGGCTACCTCCAGCGACCTGGCTATGGGGTTTAGGGTTTAGGGTTTAGGGTTTAGGGTTTAGGGTTTAGGGTTTAGGGTTTAGGGTTTAGGGTTTAGGGTTTAGGTTTGGGGTTTAGGGTTTAGGGTTTACGGTTTACGGTTTCGTGTTTTGGCGACGACTTTAGGGCTTCAGGGCAGCTTGCACATGAAAACGCATCATAGCTGCAGTTGCCGGTTCTTTAAAATCTTAGGGTAGTTTCCTGGTCCCTAGTATGGACCCTTAAAAGGGTACCCCTTATATACCTCTGATATACCCCATACAAATAAGGGCACATACATCAGAACCCTTTAAAGGAGGCAAGGGACCTTATTAAGGGCCCACGAAACTACCCTCAGATTAAACCGACTACCCGACCTCCCCAGTGAAGCACCCTGCCCGATTTTTTAAAGGCTGGGGTTCTTCACATACCACTCCAGACACATAGGGATTATACATACATATGTATATGTATGTATATATATTTATATATATATATATATGTATATGTTTTTTTTTTGGGGGGGGGGGTTCTTAAGCAAATGGTAGAAACAGCATCCTCCAGAACTCTCCGTAAACATTACAACTACACTCGCTCCATTCACAGCAAGCAAGCTTCTGTCTGTAACCCCGATAAGGGTTGAGGAATCGCAGTGTATGGACCAGTTATAGAGTCTCACCCTATAAACCCTAAATCTTCAACCCTAAACCCTAAACCCTAAACCCTAAACCCTCAGTTGCTCTGCCCCTCCCAGGTATCCCCAGTGCAGCCGAGCTCCTTCGGCGAGTGCTGCGTGGCGACTCCGGAGCTTGGGGACGGCGGTGTGGCACGTGCAGGAGTGCAGGGTTTAGGGTTTAGGGTTTAGGGTTTAGGGTTTAGGGTTTAGGGTTTAGGGTTTAGGGTTTAGGGTTTAGGGTTTAGCGTATCGGGTTTAGGGTTTAGGGTCTAGGGAGGGGTGAGGGTAGCTACCTCTTCTTTCTGGGATTCGCCGCCCCCCCCCCCCCCCCCCCCTCCAAACCCTCAACTACCTATTGCAAAATGTTCACATGATGCTACGATTTTCCGTCATGGATGTTAACCCTATACCTTAAACCCTAAACCTGGATACTAGGAGACGGGATGGGGTTCTCGGACAAGCCACTAAGCCTTCTAAACCCTATTATTATCCTGAGAAGGCACCATTCAGTCTCAGAAAACACTTAAAGGGCTTGGGTTTAGGCTTTCCTATCACCCTTAACCTTAAACTCTAAACCCTAAACCCTCAACTGCAAACCGCACACCCGGCCAGAAGTCCTCGTCTATGACCCGAGCCGAATCCTTGCCAAGCTTGTTTATTCAGGTGCTGAGTATAAAATGCAACCGTTGAGCTTTTTGGTTTTGGGGTTTAGGGTTTAGTGTTCACAACCCTCTGCGCCCGCGATCTTCCCAGGTCTTCGGAAGGCTTTTCAACTTCTCTTCGTTGGGTCGAGTTACCTGGGCACTTAATTAAATCCCTTACCTCCTTTAACGGGTTCTGATGTATGGGCCCTGAATGTGTGTAATTCGGATATATATGGCGTAGATAAGGGGAGAGGTGGGGTGCCGATGGCATGGTCTGTCGAGCCCCTAAGGTTTGCTCCTCGCAACAAAAAAAGAAGGTTTTTTCCTTGACAGTTGAACTGCAGCGGCACACGCCCCGAAACCAGAGAACTTGGCACTTTGAAACCCTAAACCCTAAACCCTAAACCCTAAACCCTAAACCCTAAACCCTAAACCCTAAACCCTAAACCCCTCGTGAACTTTCTGGAGTATGCAGGATCAAGATGACGTACAGTTTGAACGCCCTGCTCAAGAGTTTATATTTCGCATTCTGGGTTTAGGGTTTAGGGTTTAGGGCTTAGGGTGTAGGAATTGGTGACGACTGTGCCGTTTGCATGCTTCCATTGGCCAGATTCGAGTCCTGTGCAGGACATCATTTTCTTCCAGGACTTGCAGTGCAATCCGGCGAGCCAAGTCAGCACAGCTGCCGCCGAGTCGAAGTACCTTGTTAGCCCAGTGGTACCCTTTACCCTCTTTTTGGTTCTGGGTTCCCTGATAAAGTAAGCAACCAAAAAAAGGCTCCCTTTTTGGAATTGCTGGGCTACGAAGACACCCTAAACCACAAACCCTAAACCCTAAACCCTAAACCCTAAACCCTAAACCCTAAACCCTAAACCCCCGGGCTACTGAGGTACATTGCCTCCAACTGGCCACTTGAATCCGGGGACGAGGCTTCGGCAGTCAACCCAGCTCGTGCCTTCGATCCCTCTGGCGAAGCCACCGCTTGGATGCTAGGTAGGCCCCTTGGGATATTCTTTGATTTTCTCCTAAACCCTAAACCATAAACCCTAAACCTTAAACCCTACAGAGGGTCTTTTTTGGGTTCTATTGGCCATCCGAGGATAGGCAGCTGTGGTGGTGTGGCGGCCTGCGATGGGCCCTGGGTGGGTGTGATCCTCCCGCAGGAGACCTCCATCCAGTGCGTGGACTTGGTTCCTTTCTTGACCAACACTCTCTCATTTGGGGGGGGGGGGGGTAACATTTTACTTGTTGACGGGTACTTAAACTCAAGGAATAGACATGTAACTTTTGATAGTATCCCAATCATGAACTAGAGCAACAGGTTTAGGCTTCAAACTTTCTTGGCCAGCAGTTTGGCTTCGAACTCAGTTTGGGCTTCCTTATTTTGTAGGGACAGGTTAAACTTTCCCTTAAGGCTCAACATAGCCCAAAGACCCGAAGGTGTTTGGGCCCAACAACCCTAACACAAGAGCCTTTGGAGCCAGCTCGACTTAACCTGCTGCTTCTTGCTTTTTCTCGCCGGGTTGTTGGAGACGTAAGGTTCAAGGTCAGGCAAGCTTTGCGGCGGACGAAGTTGCTCTTGAGCTTTGGCAGGGCCCGCTCGATGACCTCGCCCCTGTGCCCCCTGGCGACATGCACCCCAAGATTGTGGTCATAGGAAGCAGGGTTTATATTACTGTTCTTGGTGAGTGTATATAAGGTTCCTTTTGAACCTTGGTGAGTGCATATTTTGGGTGTCCTTTTTTGGGGGTACAAGAAATATAGACCCCACTTCATATACCCTACCTATGCTTTGGGACGTTCCCCTTTATACCAACAGTCCTTAATCGGGATGATGATAGGGGGTATATACCATAAACCCTTTTGAGGACTGTTAGTATAAGGGGGAACATCCCACCCTGGGCCACGAGAATCCCTACTAAGGTTCATGAACCATAAACCCCCTCAGGGTTCATGTAGTCCCCAAAGGCCCGAGCCTGCTGATGCGTCTCGCAATGGCACAAACCAGACGAACATCACTGAGGACAGACAGGGCCAGGGTCTTCACAGCATGACGACTGTAACTTGCAGTCAGGTGCACTGACCTCGAGAAAAAAAGCCCAAAACCCCGAGTAAAACCCTAAACCCCGAAGCGCCCAAAGACCCAAAACCCCAAAACTCCCAACCCCAAAAACCCCAATCCCCCAAACCCCCCAAACCTCTAAACCCTAAAAAACCTATAAACCCTATCAACCCTATAAGCCCTATAAACCCTGTAAACCCTCTAAACCCTATAAACCCTATGAACCCCATAAACCTATAAACCCTGAACCGTAAACCCTGACGATAGACTACATGCGTATATACATATGTATACACATGTATGCATGTGTGTGTGTGTATGTGTATATATATATATATATATATGTACTCACGTAGTTTTACCCGTTATACTTCGTATACCTTTGTCCACTTACTTAGTTGTTGATATTCCTAAGAATTCCTCCGCGAACTTGGGAAAAGACGTCTTTTCTAGGGTTCTTAAGGGATGGGGGGTCAAAGGGGGGGTATGTAACCCAAGGTTCCCTAATACTCCCTACTACTCCCTAAGCTTCCCTAAGGTTGCCTAGGTACCTACCGCCCATGAACCCCGCTCCCTTAAGAACGCGACAATCTTTGCGAGGACACTGCCTCGGCTGACCCGGTTTCTGGCTGGTGGATGATCCGCTCTTGGCCCAACCTCCGAGTACGTGAGGCGCCGACGCGTCTACAGTTGCGCTGCAGCTCGGTTGCTTCAACGGTCAACTGAGCAGCGTTTTTTTTCTACAAGCAAGGCTACGTAGAGACGCGATCATTGAAAGTCGGCCGCGTAGCATTTGGCCTGCAGGGCGTAGGTTTGCGTAGGGTCCGCGTAGGCAAGTCTATGCAGTATGGGCGCGTAGGTCCGCGTAGGTTGTCTATGCTTGCCGCGTAGGTCCGCGTAGGCACACGTCAACAACATACTCCGCTCGTAGGCCGCGCGCCTACTAAACATGAGCTGACGCGTAGGCCCGTGTAGGATACCCATGCCATTACAACACCCCACACAATGAAAACAAAAAATGCTCAACTGGGCTTCGGGTTTATAGGGCGTGCATAGACAGGCATGAGGGGTTGCCGAACTTTAGCCGTTCTCTTTTGTGGGGGGAGAAAAGGTCGGGGCGGGAGGGGTGTCCTTTGAAGAGAAGTTCTGCTATGTTGTGGGTCTAATTTCGGGCTGACAACTGCTTTTCCCTTCCCCTAGCGGCCTTAGCAGATTCGGGCTTCATGATTCACTAAACCCCCAAACCCTAAACCTTACCTTGGGGACTAAATGACCCAAAACCGTTTGTGGTTCATATACCTCAATAGGGGATACTAGTAGCAAAATTCGGGTACATGACCCCAATTTTGGGATTCATGTGGCCCCCAAAAAAACCTTAACCTTCCAAAGTAGATCCGAAGCCCAGGTGACGTGGGCATGCCCGGCGGGGTTGCTTGGTAGCCCAGCCGTACCCTTTTTCCCATTTTTTTGTGGGTTCTGGGTTGGCTTATAAGTAAGAACCCTAAACCCTAAACCCTAAACCCTCAACCCCAAACCCTAAACCCTAAACCCTAAAAAAAGGGGTGCCCTTCTTGTTCGGCTCCCTGAGGTTCCCGAAGGTTCCCTGGGGCCTTCTTCCCCTCGTTGTCTAGGGCTTGGGTTGCTTTTATCAACCCCCTTTGAACCACAAAGGGGCACCCCTGTTATTCCTAGGTTGCTCCAGGGTCTAGAATCTGGTTGCTGGGCTACCCAGGTTGGGAGGGGGGCGCATCCCCTAAACCCTAAGCCCTAAACCCTAAGCCCTAACCCTAAACCCTAAACCCTAAACCCCTAACCCCTAAACCCTAAACCCTAAACCCTAAACCCTAAACCCTAAACCCTAAACCCTACCAAGGTTGGGAATGTCCTGCACGACTGCGACGACTTCAAGCAGCCCTGGCAGCAATGTACGGCCTGGTGTGAGCCTGGCTACTCGGGGCCTACAGCTACGTTCCTCTGCCTCGATCCTGGGCCTAAAGCCCTAAGCCCCAAGCCCTAAACCCTAAACCCTAAACCCTAGCCTCAGGATGTATTCAGAAGTTAGGGGCCTGGTAGCTCGGTGCTTGCAAAATACCATGGGTGTGCCAAAATGTTTGGCCCATTTGGCCGGGGGGGGGGGGGGGTTCTCTCTGTTTAAGTGCCCAAATGCGAGGCACTCTTTTCAAGTACCCAAATTCGAGGCAACCCCTGGTGAGCACCTAACGCGAAGGCGCTTGCTGGAAGATCTGGTTCGAAGACTACTGAGAGCAACTTAAACCAAACAGGAAGCATGCACCCAACAATTAGGAAACAAACAGGAAGCATGCACCCAACATTAGGAAGCAAACAGGAAGCATGCACCCAACAATTAGGACCATCCCTTTTTTGGTTCTGGGGTCGGAGGGTTTAGCGCTGACGGCTTTAGAAGCTGAATAGGTGTAGGGTTCCAGTCGATCCCTGCAACCCCTGAACCCTAAACCCCAAAGTCCTACACCCGAAACCCTAAACCCTAAACCCCAGGACGACTACACCTTCAGGGGCATCTCACCCGCATGCGTTCCCAACGAATGCCGCATGGGAATTCCTCTGAAGGTGGGACTGACGCCTGGAGTGTTTAGGGTTTGGGGTTTAGGTTTTCGGTTAAAGGTGGTAGGGCCGATTTCCTGGTATGGCATTCAGGGGGTGAGGGAATTGGGGAGGTTTTAGGGTTTAGGTTTTTAAAGCTTCAGGACTATGTTGGGGTCGTTTAGGGTTGGAGGGCTTTCATGGTTTAGGCTCGGGCTGTTGACTCTTAACGCCGGAGCTACGGAGACAAGGCTTGAAGGACCCACATGCTATAGGTCTTAGAGGATCATACCTAGGGCTTTAGAGGCTTTGCTGGGGGCCTCTTGAGCTTAATTGGATTATAGTACCCCCCCCCCCCCCATCCCCGGTTCTAATCCCTATGAAGGACGGTCAGTATAAGGGGCAACATCCCAAGCTCTAGGGTTTTGAGGGAGATCCTAGCTTCTTAGTAGGTATCCTGATGAGGCCTCAGACTTAAAATCTCGAAGCTGGTGTTTGGCCCAGGAGGTCTAGGGGTTGCAAGGATTCGAAGTTTCGAGGTTTCGAGGTTTAGGGCTTCGGGTTTGGGGTTTGGGGTTTAGGGTTTAGGGTTTAGGGTTTAGGGTTCAGGGTTTGGAGAACCTGAGGATTATTGCGGACGGCTGCAGTGGCCTGCGAACTGGTGGCACGTGCTTCGCGCGCTGCGCCAGTGGCTTCACGGGCACAGAGCGCCTGAGCCAGATTTGGGAGTTTCGGGGTTTAGGTTTAGGGTTCAGGGTTCAAGGTTTAGGGTTTAGGGTTCTAGGGTTTAGGGATTAGGGTTTAGGGTTCAGGGGCTCAGTAACTTTAGTATGGGTAATCTGCTCACTGCATAGTTTTGGGGGGGTGGAAAGGGTTCTGAAAAGGCGCATCCATTCGACCATTCGCCTGGTGCCCTAAACCCTGACCTAAACCCTAAACAACCGCCCCATATTGTAGAAGAACCCAATTTCGCTTAAATTTCAGGGTTCTGGGTTGCCTCTTGAAACCTACAGGTTAGGGTTTAGGATGTTGGGTTTCGGGTTTAAGGTTGAAGGTGTAAAAGAAGAAGCGCCTTCTTTGTTGCTCTGAAAGGGAACAGCGGGGACCTTCAAATCCTGAAGCCCGAGACCCTCAAGCAACTCCGCCAAGGGAGCGATCACCAACCCACACCCGGGTGTTTAGAGTTTAGGGTTTAGGGTTTAGGGATTCAACCCATAAAGCCAGAGTGCATGCATCAAGGGTTGAGGGTTTAGGGTCTACAAGGTTGGTTGTGGGGTTTACAGACAAGGGGTGGAAGAGGGTTCAGGGGGTTTGGGTTGAGGGCTCAGAATTTGGATTTCAGAGTGGTCTGGTTCATACCTTCCGGGTTCTGCGGAATGGTCAGTTTAGGGTTCAGGGCTTGGGGTTTATCAGGTTCTAAAATGGCATGCTGAGGTTGGAGTACGTTTGCAGAGCCGATGGGTACTTGCGAGAGAAAAGCAGTGATCAGGCTGGGCAAGCAAGTGTCGCATCTGGCATCGGTGCAGCAGTCGCTCGCCGCGACACAAAAAAAACCTCGGTAGGCTTTTGGGACAGTTTGTGCTTTCCATTTTCGGGTTTAAGAGGATCATATTCAGGAATATGTTTCAGAGGGTTTAAGGGCCATCCTAGAAACACACAAAACAATTTGCGAGTCATGGTCGTCTGGTTTCCATCGTCTCGTGTTCGCAGCAGGAGTAGGAGCAGGAGTAGGGGTCGTGCCAGTAAGGAGTAGTAGTGAGAGTATAGTAGAAGTATCTGTACCGGAGGTAAAGCTGGAAGTGGTTGAGTGGTTCACCACCACCACCACCACCACCACCACCACCACCACCACCACCACCACCACCACCACCACCACCACCACCACCACCACCACCACCACCACCACCTTAATCGTTATAAATAGCACCGCCTTACGCTTTCAGCCCTCACCCAGCGCCCTTACAAACAAATAGCACGAGTTGGTATTTTCCCGCTGCGCAGGTTGGCGTCCTCCCCTCCTGTGAGTCGACCGACATCTTCTACGAGCTCACTGGCCATGCTGGGCCTGTTCTAGGAGGCTTTTGGGGGGGTTTATAGGGTTTGATAGGGCTTTATAGGGTTTTATAGGGTTTATAGGGTTTGTAGGGTCTATAGGGTTTGTAGGGTTTTATAGGGTTTTCAGGGTTTATAGGGCTTATAGGGTTTAGTAGGGTTGATTAGGGTTTATAGGGTTTGGGGTTTAGGGTATGGCTTCTGCCAGGAGGCTTCGAGTTTGTAGGGTTGAGGTTTTGGCGCTTGGGTTTCAGAGTTTCATCGCGAGAGCAGCCGACAAGGCCTCGGGAATACGGAAGTTGCCACAGTTTCTTGTGCACAGTTTTCTTGCTGGCTATATCTTGCCCCAGTTGTTTTTGTCTGGTGTTTGGAGGGTTTGGGCCAGCGTGTCTGGGCCGCATATCTAAACCCTAAACCCTAAACCCTAAACCCTAAACCTAAACCCTAAACCCTAAACCCTAAATCGAAGGCTCTTGCTGGGAGCTTACCAAGCAACTTGCGACCCCCAGCAGAGTGGAGCTGGTTGGAGGGTTTAAGGTAGAGAAATGTCCCCAAAGAGCCCATAATACCCCTCAATTAAGGAATAGTCCTTAAATTATATAGGGATCCTGAATTGGATTTAAAGGTAGATTCCTTAAGGGCTGTTGGGCTCTTTGGGTCTACATCCTGTATACCTATTCCGTCGATTGTTTCTGTCGTAAATGCTGCTGAATGCCCACCTGTTCCATGTGCCGATTTCTGTTCATATATATATATATATATGTACGTATTGTTCGTCTAAGGCTCATTATGAGGGTTTATGAGTAGGGTTCAGGTGTCTACTTGTCGATACATGTTCGGCAGCGTGGCCCTGGCCGGAGCCGTGTGTACTCGAGCTGCGCAAAGCTTCTTCGTCTTCGGACACGCCCTATGGGAGCTGTTTGAACCCCCAATCACCTTAACAAACTTTGCAACTCCAAGCAACTTCGAAGAATGAATCCCTAACCCCGCAACCTCGACTGTTGACCAGGTGCCAGCTCGATGCTGGTGGTCTTTGTGCTGGTGGTGGGCCACGTCACTTGAGAGTGGCACTGGACGAGGCTTCAGCACGCACTCCGAGGTATCGCCATGATCAGACCCGAAGCCCGGAGGAAGAGGCGTGGACGTTGACACCTCAACTAGGATGACCAGTGCCCGCACACCCTCTTTTTCGGAGTTAGGATCCTGTTAATCCAACAAGGAGGCAGCAGTCATGATTGGCCGAGGGTGTTCGGCTTGAGGGTCCTAATCGTTTACAAGCGTAGAACACAATCCCTAAACCATAGTTCTAAACCTCAAAAGTTGAGAACCCCAAGCTCACTTTCCTTGTCAGGCCTTTCAGACAGAGGCGCGAGCGTCGCCAGACTGAGGAGGCGGGCGCGAAGATTAGGGTTCTTACTTATTGGCAGCTCTCTAAGTTACAGTCCCATTTAAAGAGTACTGTAACTTCTGTCGTGCCTTAAGCCCTAGGCCCTACGCCCCCCTTAAACGGCTGGGTCGTTGAAGGCTTGGGGCGAAGGCCAGCATCGCAGCCCCGCTCATCACGAACCTCACCAAGGAGCAGCAAGTATCTGGAGTAGGAGCTTTGGATAGGGTTTAGGGTTTAGGGTTTAGGGTTTAGGGTTTAGGGTTTAGGGTTTAGGGTTTAGGGTTTAGGGTTTAGGGTTTAGGGATGTTCTGGGGTGCATCAAGGCTTATAGGTTTAGAAGGCTTACAGGGCTGGTACAGTCGGGGCGAATCCCGTAGAGCATATCGGGATTGAGTGTACTCTGTTGGGGATTGGTTAGGGTTTGGGGTTTGGGGTTTAGGGTTAGCACAAACCTCAGCTACCCCCAGCCCGAAAAAGGCTTAAGTACGGCGACGATTGAGGTTCACCAGGCTCCGCCTCAGGGCCACCAGCACCGTTAACTGGGGGGTGTAGCTCCAGATTCCGCACTTATCACCCTGCCTTAACAAACTACCCCTTAGAGCTACAACCCTAAACCCCTGAACCCTAGAAACCCTAAACCCCAAACTGGCCCTAAACCCTACACATGATTCTCAAGCAACGGCTTGCTTGCTGGCTCAAGAAGGCGCAAGCCTGCCAAAACCACGACGTTTTCCAGGGTGGTCCGTCACTCCGTTCGGGCAGACGCTCGGCGCCGTCCTCCTCTTATAAGCCTTCTGGAGACGGAGCGAGCTACTCGACGACTCGACGGCCAACTCGCACGAATGGGATGCTCACAGTCTTCTGGCAAGGCCGGGGGCTCCAAGGTTGAGGGTTTATAGGGTTGGGGCTTAGGGCTTAGGGCTTAGGGCTTAGGGTTTAGGGTTTAGGGTTTAGGGTTTAGGGTTTAAGGGTTTAGGATTGTTTTGTGAGAAAGGCCCGAACTAAACCTTCTACTCCGCAAGCCCTTTGGACGTTTTTGGCACGTTCGCTCATTGTGCTGAAGCAGATCCTGAAACGGGTTGAAGGGGCCGACCCAGTAGAGACCCTAAACCCTAAACCCTAAACCCTAAACCCCAAACCCTAAACCCTACACCCCAGGCTGTTGTGGAGAATGGACGTGGCATGGACAAGACCGACAGCTCGGAGAGCTCTGATGACCGTTCCATGAAATGCGCACTCCAAGTCAAGGAGCTTGTCATTCTCGAATGCTGCTTGCTGAGTTTTGGTGGAGAGTTTCCGAACCCTACATAAACCCTATATGAACTCCATACACCCTAAGCCCCAAACCCCCAACACCAAACCCTGGGTGTTGGGAAACCCTCAACCCTAAACCCTAAACCCTAAACCCTAAATCCCAGCTACGGCGCCCGAGGCGACGAGCCCGCAGCACTAAAAGATTACGACTCTTGGAAGCATGTCGTGGAAGAGTACGACCTGAAGGTGCTCCGAGGTGGGGTTTCCCAAAAGAAGGGGTGCCTTCTTGGTGCCCTGCCAGAGGTTTAGGGTTTAGGGTTTAGGGTTTAGGGTTTAGGGTTTAGGGTTTAGGGTTTAGGGATTAGGGCTTTTTATAAGGGAATCCTACTATTTGGGGACTATATTGGGGTCCCTTGTTTTCTAAACACCCCAGGTGGTCAGAGCCTACCGATGAACCGTACGGCACATCACCAGATTGCCATGCGGACCCAGATTGCGCTCAAGGAGCTGGCGAATAATCCTTCCATGCTGAAGCGGCGCGTGAAAGAGCACCGTATGTCGCACGAGGACATAGCAGCTTGCACAGCCCACCAGAAGACGAGCCTTAGCGCTGTGATTTACGCATACCAGTCTTGGCTGTAGGACGTGAATATGTTTTTCCGTTGTAGAGATGTGTGGGTGGATTGTAGAAGCTCATTCCATGTAATGTTACAGTGGGGAAGGGGTGGGGGGTAGTGGGGGGTTGGGTGGGGTTGGGTGGGGTGGAAAGGAGGGCTTAGGTGCTCCAATCTTGGGAATCGCAAATCTATGTGTTTCTAGTTATTGGTGGAGGCAAGAGGGTCTTTTGCTGGCATGGCAGATACATTTTTGTCCTGAACCCTAAGCCCTAGACCCTAGACCCTAAACCCTAAACCCGAAACCCTAAACCCCAAACAACGTTGGTCCGAGGTGCCGGCTGGTTGAAACGTGTTCCAATGGGGCGTCTATCTAGATTGCACACCCAAACAAAGCCGACTCTGAAGTTACCGGAACCTCAAACCTTCGATCCTCACAGCCCATACTTACATCAGACCCTGAGCCCGTAGCCCTAAACCCTAAACCCTCAACCTCGTAGCATCCCGACACTGAACGCACCCTCAGGATCTCCGTGCCAGACAACACTCCTCCGAGCTCGGTCATCAGCAGTTCTGGCGAGCCCTCTGGAACGCGCACAGCCGACAGCAAACGAAGCATCGTTTCCTGCTAGGGCGGCATCGAAGAATCGGGGGTCTACGACGTATCGAGTGAGTCGGGAGGAAGTATACTGCGCCGTTGCAAAGCTCTCTGAGACGTAAACCTTGAACCCTTAAACGTAAGCGGGTCTGGGGCGTAGTTTCTTGACGGCTCAAATCTAAGCTAGCTTATCGTCCCATCGATGGTTCGGGGACTGGGAGGTTCATATGGGTAGGGAATTAGAGTCGTACTTATGGCCTGTCTTACTTACATACTCAAAACATCCAATGAACCTTCACGTCCTGGCTGTTGGGGTTTTGTTTTGGGTGGAGGAAGACTTGCCAGTGCCGCCTCTGTTGGGAGCTCTTGCTTGGCTTGCCTCAGGATCCGTGGCGGAGAGCCTTAGGGCGTTTGCAGGCTGAAGCCGTGCAGTTGCCACGCGAGCGCCACGCCCCCGAGCCGCATCGTGCAGATGCACGGGTGGCGTTGATCAAGACTGACGGGGCCCGTGAGTACATTTAAATCTAATGGGTGAATAGAATGCCACATATATATATATACATACATATGCACATACATACCTACATACATACGTACATACGTACATACGTAAATACATACATATGTGTGTATGTATATAGAAATCGGTTTGGGTTTTGTATGTCTTTTGATTTTCCTATTCGCTGAATCTCCGTACATACGGTTATTTGTATTCGTATGTCCAGTATGAACGTATTTGCATGTACATGCCTTTGTATGTATCTACATGAACATATGCTTCTACTTGGTAGTCTAATCTTGATAAAAGCTTTCACATACTTATGTCCATGTATACGTTTGTATGTCTACATGTTTATGGCATAGGGCTTCGGGTTGATCGGGTGTGGCCCTCGTGAACCCTACGCGTTCACGGTTTGTAGCAGCTTGGACAGCAGGAGGAGCAACCGAATCGGCAAGAACACCAGACCCTGGGGCCTACCTTAGACCCTTTCTACCTACAGATTACTAGTAGGTCCCCTCCCCCCCCCCCGCCCCCCCTCCCCCCCGCCCTTATTTACTAGTAGGTATCAAACTTAAAGCTGTAGGAAAATAGGGCCCCAGGTAAATCTTCTGTAGAATCTTGGAGGCAACCCGAAAGTAGCTCCGGAGAATTTACTTGTTGATGCTTTCAAACCAGTCGCCCTGAAGCAGGGAATGCAACACTGAGGTTGAAGTCGTATTCGGGATTCGGATTTCCGGGTTTCCGAACATCCGATGGTGTTTTTCTTGCTTGCGGGCAGGGGTTGCTTCTGAGGTGGGTGATACCCGATTCGGTGTGTACAGGGAGGGCTTTTTTGGAAATCCCTGGTCATATGCAAGATTTGGGCCCCCAGGGGATGGTATACTTGCAGTTTAGAGAACTGGCGGGGAGGGGGGGGGGGGGCGGGGGTGGGAGTTTCCCCAAAATATTGTGGGGTTTAGGGGGTTTAGGGTTTAGGGTTTGAGGACTTTAAGGTTTAGGGGTTAGGGTTTGGCGGTACCCTGAGCTAGTTGTTGTTCATTTTTTGGGAGTTACAAGGAGCAACTTGGGGGTTCCGAAAATAAGGATTATACTCACTGCCTTGGTGTATTTAAGGGCCCCCATGCTGGGCGGGCAGGCAGTTGAGTGTTTAGGGTTGTAGGGCTTTAGGGGTCAGGGGGTCTGGGTTTGAGGGTTTTAGGGGTGAATGGGTGGGGGCTCTGGGCTTTGGGGCTTTCAATTGAGAGAACGACGTTGTGCTGTTGGGGAGATGGAAGAGAGAGTGCGCATCTCAGCCTTTGCTTCTAGGCCCAAAGCCTGCTAGCGCACTCGGATAAGATTGTAACCCTAAACCCTAAACCGCACCAACATGCCCTCGAACAGCTTGACAAGCTTACATCCGCAATCCCTCCACGACAGACCCTGAAGCTGCTAATCAGAGACCCCCAAGCCCTAAACCCTAAACCCTCAACCCTATGAACAAGACTCTCAAGGGCTCTAGAAACTAGCTACACGGCCACATCGGATCCCTCTTCCGATGCTCCACAGTTGCTCATTGGACCTGCGTTGCGGCGGGAGACCGTACCCAGTTTGGTGATCAATCTGTGTAGGCCCTTGGGATGTTTTGCATTTTCCCACACTGGGTTTAGAAGAGGTGTGTGTTTAGGAATAGTGTGTTAGACGGTTGAAAAGGGCCATCCTAGTACGCTA